AATAAATTTACAAGACCATAATCATCATGTTCAATATCGATTTGACAGAAATGTCATGCCACGTCTAGGTAGTCACGAATAAGGCCGAATCGTGACACCACCGTATGGATTAATAAAATGAAGCGTAAAGGACTCAACAGCGTACGAATTAATAATCATCACACGTACTATCTAATTGCTTTAGCATAACCTCATAGGATCAGTACTATCCAAATGGAACTTTCAACCACCCTTTGACCTTTCTCACCTGCATATTCCTTCCTTCGAAAGACATTTCTTCGCCTGAATCTTCTTAGGGTTAAGACGAGAAATAAGAGGAGTATTTTGTCCCGGTTAGGGTGCACGTATTAGATAGAAGTTCCTGGGAATGGGGGGATTACTGCACCTTTACCCTAAGAAAGGGGTTCATATTGATGTATTATAAATCGGGGCTTCGGCGACAATTCTTGGATACTTGCCTAAGTAAGTAGGTAGATAGATACCTCCAATCTCTTACCCCTTGATTTAGTATCGGCCAAAATTGCTCGAACTGCAATGTAGTTAGTTGGCTGTTTGTTCGTCATCTGTCTATTAAAAAAGCAACTTATACTCTATCCCAGCCTTTTAGTTGGCCACTCAAGTATACCAACTATATACCCATATACCTACCTCACAGTTAATTTGAAATCGAACAGACGAATCCATGGTATGTGTACAGCAAGTAATCGTAAGGAACTCAGGAGGCGTCGTGACAGTGGCGTCTGATTCATAACAAAATTATAATGTAGATGACAAACACATCACGGTATTAGGCAAGACTCCTAGTTGTCCTACTTCTAATTCAATATTTAACAAGTTTAACCCTACATTAATTCCAGCTTCCCTTCTACCATATCCACCTTAACCACCTAGGCCTTTGGGACAAAATTTTTGTCTAGGGTCAATTACGCAGATATTAAGGAAATCATACACAGAAAGACTGTCCAAAAAAACAACATTATTACACTACATATCTAGTTACATATTCAAACTTCTTTGAGATCATCACGATGTCTCAGGTCTTCTACTCCGGCGGTTGGCGATGCGGTGGATGTGGCCGCACAAACGGTTCCACCTCGTACTCGTGCCAGTGCGGTCGTACTAGACCTGGGGGAAGAACGCAACCCCAACCTCGACCACCTACGGTGTGGTCTTGCAGCGCCTGCGGGTTCCGAAACACTGGAACCCGAGATCGCTGCGTCAAGTGTAGACAATAGTTACACCACTCCTCCACTGGCTTCTTAGCGAAATAATTCTCTTTACATCACTAATAGCCAACTGCGCAGCGCGTCTAATGAGACGCTACATGTGAGAGCTTGATTCGGTTATAGTTGTGCTCCTACTCTTAGAAAACCAGCTATACGAGGCCGACAACTAAGCTAGATTACCTGTTGGACCCCCAAAGTCCTTCGAGCTTGTTCATAGCTTAGAGCAACTATTCCTACCTAGATAGAGATAATAGACTCTCCATACACATTAAACAAATAAACCTTTTCTGTGTGAACCCAATAAAGCCATGTGTCGATTAGTAAAGAGTAATTCTATTTGCACATTACTTTTACACGTTATTTTTTTTATTCACACGTTAGATTCTCGACAGCTGACAATGAGCGCCCACCTACCTAGGTAGGTAGTTTAACTGTGTAATTAATTATTAACGTTACGTCAAGACACGCCACAGCCCCTTATTCTATTACACCTCATCAGCACTTCAATTAAAATCGTAAAAGTTTGAACATCACTAGAGAATGTCTATAACCATTATGAAATATGATTATTAATTTGGAAGAAAATAAAGCTCGCTAATTAATATACATCACGTCTCGGGCGTAGCGCTAATAGTTATGCAGCTGAATGGGGTGAGCGCAGATTGCCAGCTGTTAAATCCAATGTCTAAATAGGGGGGGAAAGTAATGTGCAAATAGCGTCACTCTTAGTGAATTTGTCGAGCAGATAACTCTGAATTAAATACCTAGCCTTGTAGTTAAGTAGTGCTCATAGGACTAACTTGTGATTTTATATGTTATACTTGAGTATTCATAACCTATTACATTCTGAATCCACCAATAATCCTATAGGATAACTACCTTTTAAGTATCAGAATTCCCTACACAGCAGATTATAGATTCCACGTTGATTCCAATTAGCCTCCAGGACAATTACCTTTATACTCTTATATTTCAGACCATAGTCGAGTCACAATCCTAAGATCCTCCTTACAGTCACGCGTAATACATCCCATCATACCTCGCTAAAGCCACAACCGTCAGAATCGTTATACTTCTATGGCGTCGCTTGAATAAGGCCACTTCACAACAGCCTCTGGAATTCAAGTAATGAAGCGTGAGAAAAACTAAGTAACATATGCACTAATCACTATAACATGTACCTATCTCACCACTTCAATATAAGCCAACAGGCTTGGAACCATCAAATGGAACTCTACTTAAACCGACCACCTTCTGCTATCCTTCGACCTTTCTTCTTTGCACATCGTCTACATCTACAGCCACACATCTCCGCCTGGACATTATCCCGAGAAAGTATACCTTTCCAGATCGCTTTTCCGAAACAGATTCGACAAATACGTTCTCGATACCAAAACAGGTTTAGCACATCAACCTTCGCGTCTTATTGCAAACCTCCACAATGAACGGTCCTACCTGGAAGTGCAGGAAGTGCTCCCGCTGGATCCCTGGCAACCTGATCACCTGCAGCTGCGGTGAAGTCAAGCCTGGCATAATTGCATCCACGATTGGGTGGGCTTGTGCCTGCCAGGTCTGCAAGCCATGTGCCGGAAAGGGCACAAACCAAGGAGATAAATGCGAATATTGCAAAAAGGGACACAATTGCTAGGTGCATAGTTATGCGCTGGGGGAAACTGAAGAGTTGGGGGATGGACCTTGAGCTTGGGCACAGTTATGGTTTTACGGAATGCGTCGAAAGTTGATACACATGCTCCCTAGGTATCTAAACTAAGCATCTCGGCATATAACATATAACATCATAATAAATTTGTGTCCATAAGACTGACTTCTGGCTGGTGATTTTTATTGTCTCTGTATCTGCAACCACTTATAGCTCACGCGCACGCGTAACAGCTAAGAATGAAGGTTGCAGGACTTAGTGGTGTACTCAAGGTCACCAGCTACCATAACGCGCAGCTACCCAGCTGTCCTGTTCTAAGCAGGAAGTATTCTAGGTAATCGGGACATATAAGGGGTTGAATTATAAAACAAACCCAAACCCACCTCTCTCGACTTTCGCTCAGCAAATGCACACAGACTTGGAACAGCAGCCATTTCCCGGAAAGCAAGTTTCGAAAGACAATATCCCAAGAAACTATACTAAAGATGCCCATCATATTAGCCCAAACCTGCGCCTTATTGCGAATAACCACCATGGCCAGTCCTACATGGCGATGTGTCGACTGTCGCCGCTGGATGCCTGGCTACAGGATTATATGCGAGCGTGGTCAGTACAAGCCTGGTATCAAGGGAGATGGAGATAACGGTAAGGATTGCGCGTATCAACTCTGTCAGACATGCTGCGGAAAGACATTGAGCGGAAGAGACACCTGCAAATTCGCAGGTATGGACATGATGATTAATTACCCATCTATGTGCGGTGGGAAGAATGGAGGATCGGTAGACGGGTCTTGAGTCGGGATAAAGCTATGACTACCTATGAAAAGCGTTAGTCAGGGGGTAAGAAAATGGCTTATAGCGTATAAGCAAGTACCCTCGCGCATTAAAGGGGGAAGTGTTGCCTTTTGGCGATCAAGCTAGTGAGAGGTTAATGGTAAGAGAAGCAGGGGCTAGTTTGGCAACTCCATATTCAAGTGAATTGACAACTCATGTCTGATAGGAAACAGCGTATCAGGAAACAATGAAACTGCTGCGATGGGAAAGTCTCTTAACTCTTTTGATTGTGCAAGAATATGCTCGAGTTTTCCTTTCACTATCACTTGAACCACATCCTATGACATTTTGGTGTTATCAAAATCACAAATTATTAGAACACTTACCAACTAAGCCGTTTTTTTCAATGCAGCGGAAACAAATAACAAATTTAACTACAAATAAAACGAACCCACCTCTGCTACACTTTCGACCTATTCCTCAGAAGACATACACAGCCTCGAGACAGCGACTTCTCCCTATCAAGCGAACGTTCCTAGACCGCGTCTCGACAAAACAAAACGAGAAAATTTACGACATCAAGTCTTTGCATAGGATCGATAACCTCCATGATGCCCTGCCCTGCTTGGCGATGCAGGCGTTGCCGTCGCTGGATCCCTGGTATTGAAATGCGCTGTATATGTGGTCGAGTTAAGCCTGGAATGCACCACCGTGGGAAGGCCTGTGGGTGTTTGATCTGCAACCCGTGTCCGGGAAAAGCACAAGGGAAATATATCCGCTGCGAGTATTGCAGACGTGGACACAGTTGATGGTCAATGATTATGTGCGGAGGGGGGAATGCACTTGGTACTTGTTACTAGGCATGCTAGGTGAACTGATTAGCATAGGACGGGTAGCGTGGCATCTGACACCATCTCGCGGAAGATTCGAGATTATAGAAAACTTAGCGACACCATAGATAGCACAACATTCCTTTTGAGACTACAGGTATTTCTTAGACATAGCGTTCATAAGTAATAGTATGATAGATGACGTTTAGCCCCTGAAATTACTTGGGATGAACCATAGAAACTGCAGAACAGTCGTTGACTAAGTAAACCGCAATAGAGAAGATAAAAATGAAGAACAGATCCGTGCATCGACACTAATTAATATATGCTCCATGGCGTGTTAAACGAGTCAAAAAATGCTGGACACCTAGCATATCCCATACACAGTAAGCTTCATAAATGCACTGTACAGTGTTGGTCGATTTGTGGGTTAAGACTTGGCGTATAACCTTTGTTTACGCAAATTCATTTCAATTCTGATTCGTCAAGTCAATCGACGAATTCACTGAGCGGTTTGATGGTCTAGTGGTAGGATTCTCGCTTTGGGATTAGGAACTTCCTATCGCAAACTTGCGAGAGGTCCCGGGTTCAATCCCCGGTCAAACCCTCTTTTTGTTTATCTAGCCTCTATAACAAGTAATAAAGATGAAGGGGACGGTAATTCTTTTTCTTTATCTTTTTCGAGAGAAGAAGCACAGATATGAAAAAGATTAAGACGAAGTAAAAAAAAGTTCCAACGATTTAATTACAATTTAGTATGGAAGAAGAATAGGCCATTGAACTCATCATACTTATTCGAGACAGTTGACTATGTAAATCTCCTACCTTACCTAACTGCACGCCGATCGTATCGCAGCTATATTTACCTGGGTAGCTAATCCATTATACTAAGTGCGAAGTGCCCGAAAGAGGTATTCGGAATAGATTTCGAGTCTTAGCGCGTTAACTAATAGCTTTAATTATACCGTAATAATACGAAGCAAATGACAGCAACCTTGATCCAATTTCGACTTAGAGACTAAGGACCTGCCTCCATTCGTGTTAAGTATTCCCTGGAAGTGATCAGAGGCTTAGGAAACCATGTAGCAGAACAACTGCAACCGTTGCACCCCACAATCTTAGCCCATTCAAAACTGATTCAAACATATGGTTATAATACTTGACATAGTCAAGAATTCACATTGCTACCTCCTATCTGTCATTCAACTTACATACAATGCCATACCTCTCCACCATAAGACCCAGCCATCCAATTCTCACCAGCAGACGTATAGGTTGAAATCTCACATCGCATTAAACTACTACATTAGTTAAAAAAAGAGAAGAGAAAATGGAAAGTGACGTCTTTGTCTTGTCTGTCTTGAAAAAGTACTAATTCTGGTCGATTATATGTATCTACTCAATCCACACACACACACACTCACACACCACTCACCACCACACGAAGCCCCGCCATCACCATCACCGTCGACGTGCTTGCTCATCGCTTTCATCTCCGTCTTATGTACACAGGCAGACCGGCAGACCGGAGCCAATCTCGCCGCGCCTTAAAGAGATCCCACTGCATCAACCAACTGAGTCTCTCTTCCACACACACTCTCCTCTTCTGTCTTTCTCTGAGTGCGTACAATACATGCTGCGCGCGCGGTATGCTGTCACAAACCAAAGATTGTCAAGATAAAAAAAAAAAAAAAAAAAGTAGCCCTTGCCCTGAAATCTTTTTCGTAGAACGCCATGTGTTGACCATCAATCACCCTATCGCCGATGGAGAACAGAGTTAAAAGAGTTTAAAAAAAAGAACCAAGCAACAAAAACAAAAACTTAAACAACGACGCAAGGAAACAGCAGTGATGAATGATGAGGTTCCTGCCGAACCTTCCTTCGTAGATGTGACGAACTCTCGATCGTGAGAGAAGGGGATGGTGCTTCGATCAGGCTGAATCCCCTCGAGAGTTAGGTGTGACTGACAGTGACATGTGCGTTGTGCAATCGCGACTTGAGGAAACGAAGTCTATGATGCAGGGGGAAAAGTATAATATCTTCGACCTTCTTGGCCAACATCGTCATCTCATCATAGAAAGCCCCTCCGCGGATTTCCATGCAATCCTATAAAACGCCAACGCCGTCGCAGATGAAAAAAAAAGGAGGGAGAACAAAAACCATGTAGATATAGGTCGTCCCGAGAAAAAGTTTCGGTTCCATGCTACCAGCTGCGGAAATGGCAGTTGGTGTCGTGTATAATTCGTTTGAGATCGTACTTGAGCACCACAGGGGGCCCTGGATATCACAAGGAACGGAGTAGAAGAAGTCAAAGTTCGATAAACGCACTATTTGTACAAAGCCGGCCGTAAAAGGTCCTCCAAGGAAAGTTCTTTATTCGTGCTCATGAACGTGATTATCCTTATGATGGGCAAACGGCGACTTGAATGACTTGCCCCGGGTTCGTCTCCTTATTCGACTGACGATTCCTTCGCCCGAGGGCGGTGGCGGCGGCAGTGGGTTGGCGCCGGAACGAGTGGATTCGAATCTGCTCAGCATGGCAGCCGAGGTAAATTCATTCGTCATTTCGTAACTCATCCTCACTCGGTCCATCGAAGCTCGCATACGGTCGTAGGATGGACGAACACGGTCAATCGAGGGACGTACTGTAGGCTCCGGAGGCGGATCTACGGGTTGTATTACGGGGATTTCCATTGAATTCTCGTGTCGAGTGTAGTTAGTGCCGTCGCTGCCAGTCTGACTATGGGCGTTATGTCCAGCAACAGACTGCGTCGCGACAGAAGGCGGGTAAATGGGACGGAGATCTTCATCTACGCTGGCGAATTGCTGATGTCGCTTGCGTCGAGAAGACTCTGATGAGCCCGATGAACTAGACTTGGCGACAATATCATCTAGAGTCTCCTCCTTTGGCTCGTCAAACTTGCCCATCGTTATCTGTTCTCGAATGATATCGACATCACGGGGCCAGTATACCTTACGCAGCGCCTTGATGGCATATCGAGGTGCTAGAGAAAGGATTGGCGTGGCGATCAAAACAGCCCAGAACGAAACTTCGGAGTAGATCTGTGGTGCTCCCTGGTAAAGCGTGGCTGCATAAGTCGACGAAGTATAAACGCCTGTCCAGAAGAAGACCAAGAGATCACTGACGACGATGATCAGGAGGGTAAGCCAATCCCATCTATAGGTGTTGATGAGGATATAAAGGTTGATTGTGATGACTGCCGGGTGAGCAACGTAGATACCAAGTCTGTATCGATCGCTGACGTCTAGTCCGTTCGCCGTGACAGCTGAGGTGGGCGAAAAGGCCAGATAGGTGACGAAGAAAACGATTACACTCTGGTAAAGACCATCCACCATGTATAGCCTGTTACATGTTAGCAAATTGCGTGATTAACAAACTAGGGGGTATAAGTACCAGAACTTGTGCTGAGTCCATTCAAGACGTTCAATACCACGTCGGTAGAGCTGAGGAACAGCCAAAGAGACCTTGTCAGATACATCCTGGTCGAGGACACCAATGACAATGGGAGGAACAGAGGTGAAGATAAGGTTGAACAGAAGGATGTAGGTGTACTCGAAGAGATAGGTGATGTCGAAGTTGCAGAAGCATTGGAACCAGAAAATGGCCAAGGTCCAAACCATATTCTTGTAGAAGAAGTTGGCAATGGCTTCAGCCATTCTTCGGTAAGACCAGCGTCCGTGAACCAAGACCAGCCGTTGAAGGAATCGAAATTGTCCAATAGCATAATCAGCAGACATGACGGCTTGGCGACCCTCAACACCAGCAATACCAACACCAACGTCAGCCTCCTGGATCATGGCAACATCGTTTGCACCATCACCGATAGATAGAGTCATGACATCGAGTCCATTCTTGACCATGTTGACGACGGATGCTTTCTGTGCAGGACTGACACGGCAGCAGAGAACTGAGGCACATTGTTTGCAGAGAAGCAGGAACTTCTGCTTCAAAGTGTCGTGGAGAACCCATCGCAATGTGAAACCATCAACAATAAGGGCGTGCGTAGGTGCCGGTGGCTCGTGATTGGTCCTGGCATGGGCTAAATCTTCATTGTCACCGGTGATACCAAAGGTCTTCAGATTTTTGTCAAGCTGCTCCTCAACCATGGTCAGGAATGCTTCGTCGGTGGTGGCTCCACTCTCATCCTCGCCCACTTTGAGATGAATAAGCTCCATGTCGTTGTTGAGCAAATTGCAAGAAAACCCGATGTTGATAGCAGTCTCGACTTTGTCTCCGGTAAGCACCCATAACTTGATTCCAGCTCGGCCGAGGAGTTCAATGGTGTCGGGGACTCCGTCTTGAAGTCGATCTTCGATGGCGGTTCCTCCCAGAAGCGTCAGACCTTGTTCGATCTTGTCGGCGACCTCTTCGAGCTTCTCTTCTCTGTCCTGCATTGCGGTAGCAGCCTTGTCATGCTCCTTTCGCCATTCGAGGTACTCGTGCTCGGGCAGTACGCGCTGTGCTATGCATAGGGTTCGTAAACCTTCTCGGGCAAACATTTCCAGGTGCTCCGCAGTGGTCTTGCGAAGTTCCGCTTGCTCGCCACGCCTGAGACGTGAGTATATGATACTATCCGCACCCTTGCAGAAAAGAATAATTCGTCCGTCAGGCATCTTGACAATGGCACTCATTCGCTTTCGACTGGAATTGAATTCGATCGTGTTGAGAATAGGGTAGTGAATCTCTTCTCCCATAACATTCACCCTGATACCGTCTGCAGTTGCACCGAGGACAGTAAATCCCATGTCACGCGCGGTTGCAACGAGGGCGGCCTCATCAGGCGACTGCGCTTTGAACTCGATCTTAGGAGGGTCTCCAGGAACATGTTCCGCAATGACAGTGTGGCAAAGAGCCAGCGCAAGCATGAAATGAGCGTTTGCCTCCTTTTGCTGCTGCCCAGATGCTCCTTGTAGGTCATCGACGAAGTCAGGCGCTATAAAGGTCATATCCTCATCATGCAGATAAGGGTTTTCGTGAATTTTCCTTAGCCCTTCTAACGCGTGGATCTTCCCAGAGGCAATCTGCTGTCTAGCCTTGGCACCTTCCTTCACCACATCCATACCCATACGCTTCTGCATACCGGCCTGTGCTTCCGTGTAGGCTTCTCCGTACGGTTGTCCGTTGATGGTGGCCTTTTTGAACTCCATAACATTCTGCGTGAGTGTTCCAGTCTTGTCGGAGAAGATATACTCAATTTGTCCGAGATCATCTGAGATGTTCCATGATTTCGGAACACACGGGTAGTCGATCTTGTCGTAGTACATCTCAACGTCGCTATAAATGAAGATGGCTTGTAGCGTGCGCACAATTTCCAAGGAGATGTAAAGAGAAATCGGAACGAAATTTTGAAAGACGATAAGCGAAGCCCAGAAAGTGATGAAGCCAGTCATGCCAGGGCTACCGCCAATGGAGCCGTACTCGAACCAAGCTGTTGAAGCATCACTCTTTCCCCATGACACTCCATTAACAATGGCACAGAGAAGACAGAGAGCACCAAGAATTCCGAAGTTGCACACGACGTTGAAGTTCAACTCTCTTGCGATGCGAGCACGCTTGCTTGGAGTGGCACCAGCATTCATCATGAT